TAGGTTCCGCGGCTGGCGGCGGCTCGCGGCCCGTAACGAGGTGGTGGCGTCCCCGGGAGAGGCGGGTGTTGGTGGAGGTCGGTTGTCCGGCGTCTCTGCCCGGCCCCCTCAGCCCTGCGCTCCTGCTTGTAATCCCTATTACAGGTAACGGCTCTTGCCAGGTCCCCTGAGCCTCCAGGCAAGGATCTCTGAGGCTACGGAGCCCGGGCTGCATGAGAGCCCCCCGAGGAGATGCCGGTGGGGATGGCTCGGGATCCAGAGGCAACTTGCTCATCTTCAGAGGAGGAGGAAGAGGAGGAGGTTGTGGATGGGCTGGAGTAAGTAGGAAAATAAAGTAAAAAGCCTTAGCAGTTTCTGCCTGTCTGTTCTTCCTAGAGGATTTGTGCTAATCTGAAAAGACAGCTCTCTTCCTTGTTTTGAAGAGAGAATGGGTGGTATGGACCTCACGTCTGTAGGCAGACTGCCCGCTTTTGGAACTTTAAAAGACTATTATATTCTTCAGGACTGAAGAGCAGCTCTTGACTGCTCTAAAATCTGTTGTTTCTTTGATCTCTTGCTGTCATGTTCTGAAATCAGAAGCTTTCTTTATGGCAGTTAAGAGAATATATGAGACATTGTATTTTAAACTTTCGCTTTGGCTGCAGGGAGGAGAAATATGCTTTTTTAAAAACCTGTCTTGTGAGACCTCTGGAGTAGGTATTATTTGCTAGTGTACCTCTGTGCCATCTTAGTTTAGAATCTTTTTATCCTTGGCTCTGAAGGACTCGTTTTCTTTTCCCCAAAGTGAAATCCTTTTTCTGTTTCAGATGAAGCTACTTAATACGGGTTGCCTATTTTCTTCGAGCTGATTACGGTCACTGAGTGCCCAGATGCAACTTGCAGAGCCTCACCCTCTTTAGAGGGTTGAGTTACCTGTTGCTTCCTAGCAAGTACTTGGTTCCCGCTTGCCAGGGTCTTTGGGATGTATAGGCCCACAGCTACTCTCAGCCAGGATGCAGTGGTGACTGTGTGCCTGTATCAAGGGACCAAGGGTCATGCTAGGGGTGACTGACGGTCACCTGAAGGATTGTCTGGCCTTACTGTAAATCCTTACTGCTGGCTTAATGTAACCTCCTCTCCTGTTGCCTCAGCTCATTTCTCACTTATATAAGGCTCTGGCCTGCACTGTAAGTGCTGGAATCTTGGGGCGTTTTAGGCTGAAGCACTGATTACACCCAAGGAGATGATTTCTGAAGGGTGTAAGACCAGGTAAGAGTGCTGGAAAGTTAATTTATGTGAGAGATAACAAACAGTGACTTGGTTAAGAGGACTGAAATTGCACATAGGCTATTCCACCTATTTGTCCTAGCTTCAAGGCAGAATTGCCCCTTATCACTGTACCTGTGACTTAGGATCTCAAAAATCTTCTTTCTTTCTTTTTTTTTTTTTTTTTTTATTTTAAGTGCAGGCGCTCACCTGCTTTTTTAAGTACTTTTGTCTGGCTAGAAGTGTGATCTTTGAATACTGGGTGGCATAGCCATTCAAACCAATGCAGTGAATTATCAGCAACTGGAAGAATAATGGCACTGTTCAGAACTTGGCAAGATCACAGAATGGAGATTTAGCTTGGCCTGCAAGTCACAGGTCAGGACAAGGGATCTGTGTGAGGTAGCAGCTCTGAGTTCAAAGCTGCCCTGGAAAGTGAGGGTTTTCTTAGGATTTGGTGGGTGGGAGGGGGTTACCTGACTTTTTTTTGCCTATAGGGCATCTGACCATGGTCACTTATTTTCCATGTTTATTTTTGCCCTTGTTTTCTTTTTTATATATTTTTTTTTTTTTTTCCCGTGTAGGTCTCTATGCAGTGGAATTATTTTGCATTGCTTGAGTACCTTTTTGAAGTGGGATTTGAAGATTTGGAATCTGTTTTATCCCCTCCTGTTCTGTTTAATCTACTTTATAACTTGAATGTTCTTTTGTAGATGCCAGTGGTGACTGCTTCCATGGCCCACTACCTGGTTGTTGCAAACAGACCATGGTGCTTGTGCTGGGTCTGCAGTTGGGGTCTTAAATATATTTGTCTACAGGCTTAGTGAAACAGAGTTTATTAATGCAGCCTAGTTTGCTAAGCCTGCAGCTGTTGCAGCCTTGCCAGCTCAGACCTATTGCTTTAGTATCATCTAATGGATATGTTAATTCCAAACACTTCCAGATTTTTTTTATCTTCTGTATTTTTTCCAACTCTTTGCCAGACAGTGATCTTGTATATTCTATAAACAAGTGTTCCTGTGTACCTCTGTGCCAGTCATTCCCTTTCTTCTTGTCCCTGTAGATTCAGATGTGTCTCTCCACCCCATGTCTCTGGTTTTTGTTAACTTTTTCATATTCCGTTTGCTTGAGTGGTGAGTAATAAGCACTCTGAGCTTTATTTGCTTAGGCAGCTTGACAGGTTTGCTTTCTGTCATCTCACAGCTTTATATAATAGCTTTTATGGTGTGTGTGTGTGTGTCCTTAATTTCTCCAACTGAGGGGGTGACAGTTTCCAATATGCAGTGTAGCCTTGTTAATTTGGGCACCGTGGCTCGCTGTAGCTTGGAACCCGTAGCCCCCATAAGTGGCTATCTGGGACATCACTGTTGAATTCTGGGCTTGTGTCCCACTGCACTTGGCAGGGACTGCCGAGAAGAATGCCCAGATTCAGGCTTTCTGCTGAGCCAAGTACATTCTAGTCTGACAGTGTCTACCCGAGTGCCCCTTTGCTCGCTTCAGCGCTCAGTCTAGGCAGCAGTTCGTGAGCTGGAATCGGAACCTGCCTTGTGGGGCATGGGAAGGTGCATGTGGGTATTGTGATCTATCCTGAAATGCAGATTGTTTTCCTGTAGTCAACGATTTCAAAGAACAGTAGCTGTGAAAATCCATGGGGTTCCTCTCAAATTACAATTGATAAAATCACTACAAATTAAAAAAAAGACTTAACATAGTGAAACTTGAACAGGGTAGTTGGACTACATGATCTCTAATGGTTCCTTCCAATCCCAACCCCCTGTCATTCTGTGACCAGTGCAAAAATGGGAAGATCTTGAAGATTATCCGAATAGCTCAGTACCAAAGTGCCTGGCCTGTCTCTGGCTGTGTGTCCCGGCAAGCATGGACAAGCCGGGGACCGCTCCCTCGCCGTGAGTAATGCCGCGTACGTGCGAGGCCCGGCTCTGGCTGCACTCACCATGGTGCCGTTGCAGGGACCACCCGTGCATCAAGTGGACTGGCGGCTGCCGGCGCATCCCCATCCTGGTGTTCCACGCGGAAGCCATTCTCACCAACGACAGCTACCTCCGTCTTGTTGGAGGTGAGTGCAACCACGTGCTGGCTTTTGGGCCAAGAGCATAAGGTGGGAGTCTGTTACCTGGAGGTTCCTTTCCTTTGTCATGGGGAGAAGAGATGCTAAGGAGGAGATCATTTGGTTTGAGAATTCACTGTACCATTTCCCATTTCTGTGCTCAGAGATGCTCAGAAATTGTTGGTTGATTGGTAGATGTTTATCATGTTTGGGTTGTGACGAGTGTCCTTGTCCCTCCATCGAATCTGGACATGTCTAGAACTGGAACTGTCTGCCCATGTATCAGTGAGGAGGCTGTGGCAGAACTTAGAATCAGCACAGAAATTCAGTAGTCTGTTGCAAAGAACTTAAAATCAATTGCTCCAGTGAGATTTTGGGAAGGTTTCATGAGGAAATGTACCACGCAGCCCTCCAGTCATAATAACAGTAATAAGATTTAATAACAGATCTCTGCAAGTACAGCCTCACAAGGCAGAGTAAGTGCATAAGCAAAGGTGTTGCTGCTCTGGCAGCTTTGGGATCAGGAGACCAAAGCTGTCTAGCGTCAAATAAAGGAGAGCCTCTAAATACGAGGCAGAGCTGTGAACAGTCACTGCAGATTGCAGGAGCTGGCGTGTTACGGGTGTGTACAGCTGGGAGCTGATTCTGGAGGTGCTGAGTTGGGGAAAAGCTCAAATCCACGCAGCTTCTTCTTGTGAAGATGCTGACGCTTGTTTCTTCTCTTGCTTTTCCCCTTCTTAGGTAATTGGTACCACATTTCTAATATCCTAACCAAGCAGAAATGCTTGTGACTCATTTGGGTAGGGGGTGGAAAATATGATTCACGTGCATGAAAGCTTCTGATCCTCTTGACCCCAGTTAGGAATACACTTGCATGGTGACAGTAGCTGATGGAAATTCTAACTTTTGTGCGAACTGTAGTGTGGTGGTATTCTTGTGTGCGTGTGTCCCCCCCGCCCCAACCCCCCCCAGTTAGGGGAGAGGGAGGAAATTAATGTGGCTTAACGAGATCATTCCTGGATAGCACAACTTTAAGTTTCCTCTAGGGCTTTGTCTAGTCCTAGGTGATGCTTCCCCCTCTTCTCCCTAGAGACACGTTTTTATTGTTAGAACATTTTCCTGAGGCTTGTTCTGTTTTTCATCTTTCTGGTTTGAATCAGATTTTTGTATTCTAGCTTCATGATGTCCATCTCTTTCTGAACTTTTTTTGATTAGCTAATCCTTTCATATGACAGGTGATCTCTTATGTTGCTACTTGGTTCCATGTTCTGTCTTTTTTATACCTCCAGTGCTGCTTACCCGTTTTGATTGTGTGACTTTATACTTAGTGATTTTCTTTTTTTCCCAACTTAATTGTTGTCCTATTTTATTTTCTGCCTTTTTTTCTACTTTCTTTGCAGCTGTTTGTTTGAAGACAGATGCAGGGGAATGTGATATCCACAAAGAGATGGTAGCGTTTTATTGTGAGATTTCAAGGTTTAAAAAAATGTGCATTTTAACTAGTCATGCTAAGGAAGGCATGACATGGTTGCTCTAGGCTAGGAAATCTAATCCTGAGAAGAAACAATTGGAGCTGTGTTTAGTGTGTTACAAAACAGGTTAGGAAGAGCCCAAACATAGGCATTTGTTAGAGTGTCTTGTGTTTAATTATGTTTCAGTGAAGCAGAAATCTGACACCTAAAAATTGGTATAAGTCAATGTGATGCCATAACGAATTAATGAGCGCAGGGACGGGTAGGCATTTCTTGTCACCCTGTGCCTTGTTTTGTGCCATTACAGTCAGGGCACTCCACTACGGTTTTACGTGCAGCTATACTGTGCTGGTCTTTGTGGTGCTGTTCTCTCTTTTGCTGGCATGTTACGTTGTTTTCCTATGTGCAGGCTCTAATATTCTGTCCCTTGCCTTGCTTTCTTAAAAGAACGTTTTCACCTATCCTATAAGATTGTGAGAACAGACAGCCGCCTGGTCCGGAGCATTCTGACTGCCCATGGCTTCCATGAGGTGAGTGCAACAAACTTCACAGTACTAGCAGGCTGTTTTTTTTTTTTTTTTTTTTAAATATGCTTCTTAGAATTGGGAAATTTTGGTGAACCCCCTGAGTGTTCACATGTTCCCTATAGCTATACTGAATGAAGGTATCTGAAGGTATATATACTTCATGATTTTGCCCTTTTAAAGGAATACTTCTGAGTCTGATGTCTGCCAAGTTGGGTCAAAGAGCTATCAAAGGTTATGGTGTTTCTCATTGTGCATGTAGAACTTCATCTTCCCTGTTGGGAAGTTCTCAAGGATTTTCATCTCAGCCTGGGAGAGCTCTTAGAGGCATTATTGTAGTGTCTTATGTTTCTCTTTTAGCATGTGTCTTTTTCTAAAGAACATTCTCTCTGCAACTAAAGGCAATTCAACAGATATATGTGTGTGATGGAAGTTCTTCTGAATAAAACAAAACTCAGGGAATCAGACTCCCAAGTTTCCAGAAGAAATCTGGAATGCTTTATAAATTGAATTTCAATGGTCTATGAAAACAGCAAATCTTTTTTTTGATTTGCTGTGTGTGAGAGAAATATGATAAACTTACTTCTCAGCAGCTCTCTGCTGCTTAGGACAGGAGAGTATGTCTCTGTGTTAATATTAGAAAAGGATAGAGGAGATTCTTAAACTTGAATTGCTCCACACCTACACCTGTTCTTTTTGTATATATGCAAAGGCCCAATCTGTAGGAAAAGCAGTGGTGCTTTTCAAATTTCCTGCTTTTTTTGTTTTATTTCATTTTTGCAGGTTCACCCTAACAGCAGTGATTATAATCTCATGTGGACAGGATCACACTTGAAGCCCTACTTGCTGCGTTCCCTTACAGATATTCAGAAAGTCAATCACTTCCCGAGGTAAGGCCAGGGTATCATATTTTGCTGAATGTCTTTGTCGTGATTTACACAAATCCAAGTGTAGATAACATGATACAGAGCAGTAGGCCTGTGCCATGTGCTGTCTTCAGTCAAAACAATCTTGAAGTATTTGGGGAAGATGGTGTGTGAGTTGAAGTGCTTGTCTTTAGCTCAAATACTACATTTTTGTGCTTTACTGGGGGATGTAAGTGAGGCACTTGGGGGCTCTATTGTCACTTGTGGAGATAGTAAACTGTCACCTGCTAAGATTTTCAAACACCATTATAACTTTACTGTGTTGCAGTCTGTATGGGAACCTGTGGGAGGTCCATAGGAATAGCAAGAGGCACTGGAGTTGAGAGTGTATATTAACAGGGCTATAGTGCAGAGAGACAGCAAAACAAAAGAGTTGCTGGTTGGATTTGAGTTGTCTTGGCATGGTTACAGGTACTTTACTAACTAGAATAATGGCTTGCTGGAATGTATTTTTCATGGAATAGACACAGTTTCTCTTCTTGGGACCACAGGTCTTATGAACTGACAAGAAAAGATAGACTGTACAAAAATGTCAGTCGTATGCAGCAGACCCACGGATTCAAGACATTCCACATCTTACCGCAGACCTTTATCCTCCCAGCAGAGTATCAGGAATTCTGCAGTAAGTGTTGATGATGCCCACCCAAAATCAAAACAGCT